GAGTCGATAAATGATACCTATAGATGATTTTTCTTTACGAGCTGAACCAGTTAAAATACAGGAAGCAGACTTAAAATAGCTACAATCATACATCGACAATATTCATGTCATTTACGACAGCTTCATCGCATTATAATCATTACAATTTCAAGTTAATAATAATAATATTTGACATGAATAAAGTAAGTCAAATAAATTAAAATTAAAATATAAAAATATATAAGAAAATAAATAACTAAATAAATTAAGAGATATTAAAGAACAAAGTTAAAGAACTAAATATTAATAATAAGGACAATATTAAAAAATATTAATATAAAATAATTAATAATTTAAGATTATAACTGATGTAGACAAGAAAGTCACATAAATGATCATATACAAAAATGTGAACCCATGTACATATACATGTTAGTACTCATAAAATAGAATCAATACGTGTTAAATCTCCAAAATCAAAGATCTTAGGGAATGTTAAATCTGTCTTTGTGTCTACACTTGAAGATAAGTTCGTTCCTTTGATTCAATAATTCTTTCGCATTTTATACGCAATCATTATGATTTTTTTTTATTATGCATAGATTTCCCCAGAAATTCTTTAGAGTCTGAGATTGACAGATGATTCTCCATTTGATTTGTGGGGGGAAACCTCCATCTTTAAAATTCCAATAATGTTTGAATAGAGCAGTATGATAGCTTAAAGAGGCATTGGAGAATGCCCGTGATTGTAAAGTCTCTGCTTCCAACTCCCAGCGGATATCACTATGTATATTTTTTCTCATTGAAAATGGTACCTTCGTATACCACATTTTCAGAGTTACACTTGCCTGCAACTGGGCGGTTAATTCCGGCTTTACAATTACAAAAAGGTTTGCTTTCTGGTGTTTTGCTGTCATCATTTTTTTAATAATAGGTTTTTGTGTGCGCTAATAATACTGTGTATATTGTTAGTACAGGAATAACTGATTTTTAGAGATTTTCTATTAGAACTTCAATGTAGGGGTTATGGTTAAAATGTTTGTAGATTAAATTTAGAAAATATCTGCCAATATATATTATATAGTTTACAGAAAGGTGAGTTAAAATAACTCGTCTTTTTTTTTTTTTTGGTTTATTATGATAAAAATCACAGAGCCGTAAAACACAATGTTACAGAGCTCATATAATAATTAAATAATTTAACCCATGCAAGACAGATTGGGATCTCTAGCCTTGGTTAGCTACCAGTCTAGGTGATGAACAACATCGAAATCAAAACCGGTTGGGCTTGGAGCTGGTTTCCTCCATAAAAACGTACTTGCCAAGGGAACTACAGCAACACCACATAGCATGGTGAGGATATGGCTCTATATTCAGCAAGGGAGTCTAATGGCACTGAGTATGATCAATTGTTAATGAGATTGTATTTAAGTTCGATCCTCCGTAGGTGAACTATGTTTGTGATTTTGTAATATAAGTTGAGTAAATACCTATAGCAGTTTTTTTTTCTACATCACCCCATACAAGGCAGTAACGCCATTAAGACACAAGGGGTTACTGTGTATGGACTAATTAGGAACAGAATTATTAATAATGAGCAAGAAGAGAAAAGAATAATCAGAAGATAACTATTGACATTGCGACTAAATTTTGGTATATTAAAGTTGGCTGGAAAGCATGGAGACCGAAGAGAGTTCCACAAACGAGAAGTGCGAGGGAAGAAACTGTTAGCATAGAACTTACGGTTACATCTAGCCAACTAAATTGATGAGATGTCGACGCCAGTCTACTACTGCGCTTAAATTCATAAAGTGTAAGTACCATAGCGAAAAGCAATATTTATTTGTATATAAGAAATACAAAATGTAACAAAAGGCCAAAATAGATGGATGGTCTTCTTCTGTCTTAACATTAAATTATCTAGTCACAATCACTGACCCAAACAGGCCACAATACTCCTTACACCAAAACATCGCATTCTTACTTACCATCCTTACTACATCCACCATAATACCTCAGAATCTCATAAAGTCTTAACTAGTCACTATTCTTGTCGGTGGGGTGAGGGACGGGGACGAAGGCCAACCGATCGAGCATGATGTCAAAGCACCATCCCCCGTTCAGCTTGTCGGAAGTTGCACCTAAAATTTGGCCATACTGCATGAAGAATGTAGTCAGGTGCTCTCCCAATACCTAAGGATGGACCTCGAATACTGCTACAAAAATTTTGCGGACCCTCTTACTCTATCCGTAGGATGAGGTCTTTTGTTATCAATTTTCTCTTCGACATCTCGAGGCAATCTACGGCTGTGGGTATCAGTACGTTGCATAAGAAACCCTTATTTACTATTAGGGGTTTGACACCCAGGGACATGAGTGATCGAATCACTGTGTCTTTCGTGAAACGACAAATTTTGTCCGTACGCTTGTCGACCACGATCTTTTTTCAAACTTCTTTAATTGTTTGACGTCTTCTAAAAGCCCAACATTTTTTACACGATTTTCGAAACTTTTAGCCCTTTTCAGAAATTCCACGATGTTTATAATACAACTTGGGGGCACTTTCAGCATGAGGGCAATACACCAGCTGTCGTTTTTACTGGTGCCTCCATTTCTTTTGGCACATTCTTGTCATAGCTAGATTTACTAGTTTGGGTCATATCTTTATTTGCTGACCTACTATTTTCGGTAGCCATCACATTCTTTCCTTTACTTGGGGATTTCGGTGTTGCTGCCACCCATTTTCCTGCTTTCTTTTTATCGTGTGTGTCTGTTTTAGACGCAGACGCGAAAAGGTCCTTTTTTACAGTCCGATAATTTTTGTCGGCCATCCTGGGAAAAAATTACTACCTAAGCGGGTTAATTGTTTTATTTTTTTTAATTTTTTTAACTTGCGAAAAAATAATAATTGGAGCAAGTGGAGGGGGGAGGGAAAAACGCCAACAGGTAATACTTATGAGTGTAAATAAAAAGTAGTATTCTTCTATGAAACAGAAAAGTTAAAATAAAACGAATCAGTACAAATATTAGAAAAATAAAAGAAAGATTACAATAAAATAAAAGACTGGTTAAACGTGTATAAACAAAAATTCAAATTACCTACCAAAATGAACTTATTTATAATTAAACTTGAAAAAAAGAGAATTAAATCAAAAAATTTTTAAAAAGAGTTATTAAATTAAAATCAATAAAGCTAAAATATAACACTGGGAAAACTAAACGTTAATCCATAAAATAAAATAAAAATCGGACGAAATCGAGGAGGGTAAACTGAAAAAAATCTATGACTGACTAGAAGAAATAAAATAAAAATAAACTATTCAAATACCCCTGAAAAAGAAAAAGAAAAAAAAGAATTTCGTTTAAAGTTTCTTAGTAAACTAGATCAAATAAGGTAGATAAATGATTAAATTAAATAAAAGTAAACTAGATCAAATAAAGTAGATAAATGATTAAATTAAATAAAAACGCAATAAAACAAGTAGTCTGGTAAGAATTTACTAAAATAAAATAAAATTAAGATCGAGGACAAAAGCCGACGAAAAAAAAAAAATTCAGACAAGAAGGAAAAAAATAAACTGTTCAAATTTCAAAAACAATTAGCAAAAGTGAATTTCTTTTCAAATTTTTCTCACGTTCTTTTCAACTCTAGTCACTAAAAAAAAATAAAATAAATCTATAAATTAAATACTAAAAGAAATGAAAAAAATACAGTAGTTTAGTAAGACTTTCGTCATACCAAGAAAATAAAGATAAAGATGGCGGCCAAAGTCGACGAAAAAACTGAAAAAAATACTGACAAGAAAAAAAAAAATGCAAAAGTAAATAATACAAAAACGAATAAATGAAAAAAGAAAAAATATATTAACAAACGTCTGTAAGTCGAAAGTTTGTAATAAATTTCCAGGAAGGTTTCTTTACCACACTAACTCTGTCCAAAAGCACTGGTCGGAAAATAGGTCAGTTCAAGTCGAAAACGAGACAAATTACCATAACGCAGAAGGCATCTAAAGAATTACCATGTAAGTATTTATAGAAAAGACACAGCGAGACAACCTGCAAAAATGAGAAAGTGACTGAAGTCAGATCAAGACCGTTAATATTGCTGATTCTACTATCAAGGAGCACAAGGTAAAAAGCAGGACCACCGGACCATATGTGGCAGCAGTCGCTTTCTAAAAAGTTCGGGGAACCCAGTGAGGACAAAGCTCACTTAAAAGTAGTTAGCGTCTTGTAAACTCTATCCTGACGCCCACATCAGTCGCGGTTTTAATCCACTTGAAGTGACATGATATCAAAACAATGAACACAGTCCTGTGTCTGTCGAATCAAGTCTGTTTCGAAAGGAAATTACTGAGGAGAGTGTTGGTGATGTTTATTTTTTGGTCTAGTTGGTGCTAACCGGCAAAAACATTTTCAGTGTCAACCTGCCCTAACGAATCTTCTTAGCGAAATAAAAATCTTGCCCTTTCAAGTTATTTTCTCTCTCGACAAGAGCTACAAATAGCTTTTGCACGAACTGACGTCGGCAGAAAAACTTTCGCATCAAACTTGGCCCAGATGTCTTCAAAGAGAAAAACAACATCAAATCTTCAGATTTCTTTTCTTTTCTTTTTTTCTTTTCTTATTTCTTCAACTATATATGAGTATGCGTGTGTGAACCCATGTTTACGCTATATATATATATATATATATATATATATATATATATATATATATAAATACGAGGTCGGATCAGAAAATAACTGAACTGTTGCTACAGTAACGGAGCTAAAGTACGCAGAATGAAGCCACTTGGCGCAGATTGACCTTGAATTCAATGGCGCATATCTGCTAAGTTCTCGCTCGCTTCCGTTGTTTATAGCACTGTTTTGGGGGGAAAGTGTGTAGAGTGTGGTCACTTGACCACACCACGGAGGTTCCATCAGTGACCATGGAATACGCAGCAGTTTTTGGTCAAGTTTAACATTCCCCTGGTCCGAAAACCACTATATTCGCCAGATCTCGCCCCTTGCGATTTT